AAAAAAAAAAAAAAGAGTCTCAAGGACTTTCCTGCCCCAGCTGGCTTTAAACCTCAATTCTCAGATCTCAGCCTCTGAGTAGCAAGGATTACAGGCGTGAGCCAACAGCACCTGGTTAAATTTATTTTTTTTCACACCATTTACTTTTGGTTTTTGTTGGTCATGAAGCTTGAACTCAGTGCCTGGACGCTGTCCCTGAGCTTTTTCACTCAAGAATAGCATTCTACCACTTGGAGCCATAGCTCTAATTCTAGTTTTCTGGTTAATTGGAGACAAGAATCTCAAAGACTTCCCTGCCTGGGATGGCTCTGAACCATGATCCTCAGATCTGAGTCTCCTGATTTGCTAGGATTACACGTATGAGGCACTGGCGCTTGGCTATACCATTTACTTTTTGGTAGAAAAGTTAGATTTCAGTGCTCAGCACAGAAAAAGTAAGCAGAAATTTTCAAAGTGATTCAAAACGATTGGCAACATCTAATGAAATAAAAAAGTATACATACTAATGACTATGAGTTTTACAAAAAGTAATTTGCATTATGGAAATAATTCCCTACATGAAGTACGTAATAAAGTTGATGAAAAACTATCTACCAACAGGAAATTGGCGAACGTGTTTTTTTAATTTTTAAAATTTTTATTTGTGGGGCTAAGAAGGTGGCTCAGTGGTGGAATGCTTGCCTCGCATGCATGAGGCCCTGGGTTTGATTTCTTAGTACCACATAAGCAGAAAAGGCCAGACGTGGTCCTATGGCTCAAGTGGTAGAGCATTCGCCTTGAGCTGAAGAGCTGAGGGACAATACCCAGGCCCAGAGTTCAAACACCACAATCAATGACAAAAATAAATAAATAAGCTTTTAATTTTGTTTTTGGTCCATCCTGGTGCTTGAACTAAAGGCATAGGTGCTGCCCGAGCCTCTGTGTTAAAGGCTAGCACTTTACCACAGCTCTATTGCCAGCTTTTTCTTAATAGTTTATTGGAGATAAGAGTCTCATGGACATTTCTTTTCAGGCTGACTTCAAACTGCGATCCTCAGATCTGTTTCCTGAGTAGCTAGGATTACCAGTATCCAGGTTATCTGTACATTCGTGTTGTTGTTGCAAGTAGTAACAATTCAAAAACTTATTCATTTTTTATGATATTTATATCTGCTCTAGTTTTTTTGGCAAAGGTATCATTTTAGAAATTAAATACATGTTACATTATAACTTTAAAAAATGATTCCAACAGTTAAATTACCTCCATCAATGCTGGAAGCTGAATGTCAAAATGGTTCAAGATCCTTATTGTCAAAAGCCGAATCTAGACAAAGCAAAAAATTCATTGCAAACTACAAAGTTTATATGAAACAAGAAATTAATTTTAAAAAAGGGTAACATCTGAAGAGAGAACTCATGCCTATTCTATTCCTTACTCATATCCAACAAAAAACAATACCTATCAAATAGTACATAGGTACTGAACAGGTAAGGCTGCCCAGTCACCATACTGTTTCTTTAAATTGTGACACTGTCAGTATCTCTAAAGATATGCAAGGAACTGATTGGGTCTATAGTTCAATTGAAATCAGTAATCTGTTCTCCTCTATTTTCACATACTTGAGTGAGCAGCAGAATCACTGAGAGGGATTTTAACCCTACTGAATCAGAATCTTTGGGAACAGGGACCCAGAATTTTATTAATCTCCCTAACCAATTCTGCAGAAATCAGTCTAATTTCTGCTTTAGGCATCATCATCCCACAGCAGTACTTTTTCTCCCCTCCCCACATTCTCTCCTCTCCTCTCATCCCCTGCTTCTCCTCCCACTCTCTCTCATAGGACTGGTGATTAGATGCAAGCACTCCCCTACTTAGGCTACACTCCTGGACTTTTTCTGTTGTTTGCGTGTTTGTTTTTGAGACAGACTGTTGTCATCTTGCTGCCTAGGCTAGTAGTGCATTCTGATGACTACTAGCAGTCATACAGAAACAAAAAGAAAACAGTATTACCTTGGATACTCCAGTTGAAATGTTTGTTTGCAACTTGGGAAATAATTCCATTAAAGCTTCCTCAGAGAGTGGTCCTTTGCATCCACAGAAGGATAACCTCTGATAGTAGAGATCAGTCAACAGCAGCACCGACGGTTCCGAAGGAAATGTTCTGCAACAAGATATTTAAGACTCATTGTACCACACACTTCCGTGATTTCAGATCATAATACACACTATAGAAAATCGTTGTTGATGAAGGACATGTAGAAGGCTGGAGGAAGCTTGCAGATGAAGAGGCCTAGCAATCCTGAGTGACATGTTCAAGCATATTTCATTTCCAATGCTGCCTCTCACAAGCCACAGCTGCCAACAACTGCCAGATAACAAGTAATATTTATTATTTGCTGCATGCCAGGTCTTGAGCTAGTGAAGGAAACCAGGCAGCCCAGATGCAAGCCCACATCATCAGCAGCCTAACTCTGGAGAAGCTGCTTAGCCTCTGTGCCATTTTTGTTCAACAGTTATTTTCTGAGTGCCTACTATGTGACTTTTCTAGACCCTGTAGTTATATCAGTAAACAAAAGACAACGTTCCCATTTTCTAGAAATTTACATCAGAAGGTAAGCAATAAACTAAAAATAGTAAGAGTGACAGTGATGAGTGCTATAGAGAAAAACAATTAGATGGAGTCAAGAGATAAATGTGAAGAGGATGGACAGCAGAGGGAAAGAGGTTACAGTGAAGTATCACTGAGATAGGGGCAGAGAGAGGGAGTACCATGGAATACCATTTGACAAGGGTAGTCATGGAAAGCAGAGACAAAAAGAAATGAAAAAGTGAGCTTAAAGGGTATTTGAAGGAAAAGCAAAACCAAGTCAAAGCCTGAGGTATGTTTGTCTACTGAAAGATTATGATTGGTCTGGTTGGAACTGAATTAGCAAGGAACTCAGTGAGGAGTTTGATTTTATTACAAGTAAGGATACAGGGTGGATAACATTACAGCAGAGTTTCTCAGCAGTGTCGGCACTCCTAATATCTGGGGCTAGAACTGCTGGGGGCTATTGTATGTTGCTTAGCAGAATCCCTAGCCTTTATTCACTACATACCAGCAACAGCCTCTCCTCCACATTCTACAAGCAACAACTAGAACAGACCTCCAGAAATGCTCCTGGCTGAGAAGCACTGTACTAGCTGTGGGCGATGGAGTGAATCACCAGGTGCTGATACAGCTCAGAGAACACAGGACAAGGGTGGAAGTAAGGAGACTCATAAAGAGGCTGCGCCAATAATCCAGACAAGAGATAGTAGCTAGGCCAGGGTCCTATTTTGAAACTATAGTTCCCTCATCTATAATGATAATAATACCTTGTACCTCATGGAGTTGTAAGGATTAAATTAAATAATGTATACAAAGTACACACAACAGTGACGGATATATAATTAGGACACAGTAAGTACAATTTATTATTACTGAGTACAATATGTAATTCAGTTCCACTACGTAAGATTTTTTTTTTTAAACCATCCCTTTTGAGAGATAATGAAGTTGAGAACAAGTAAGTAACTCATTCAAGTTGACAGTATCAGGACAGTATCAGATGCAGGCCCCCTATGAAACCTAGATACTTGCCAGTATACTAGCACATTACGGAGCAGGATCCTATATTTGCAATGAAAGTTTACTGCTACCTAACCTTCCCCAGAGGGGAAGGATGGACAAAAAATGAAAAGTTTAAATAAGAAGATGGAAAGTATAAATAATTAAAAAAGGGAAATATGCTATAGGGTAAATAGGACAAAGTAAAAGAAATCTCCTCCCCCAGGAAGTTCACTTAAACCAATTTGGCCATGGAGAAATGCCAAGCTCACCTGGATATGGAAATATAAAGAGATTCTGGATTACTGCCATTACCCACCCTCCTAACTTTTCTTTACTCCCCTACAGACTCTCAATATAGTTGCCTAAGAAATCCTGTGTAAGACTATGTCTCAAATGGGACACTCATTTTGCCCCAGAGAGCAGCCTGGTCTGCTATCCTCATGGCTCTCTCCTTAGCTGCTTTCAGGTTTTGCTTAGATGCCTCTAGATGAGGTCTTCCCATAGAAACATCACTGTCCCTAACATCCAGACTTCCTACCTTCAGGCCCTGCTTTCATTTCCTTCATGGCACTTAGAACCATCTAATGTGTTATGTACTTATGTACTCTACTTAATGTCTTCTTTCTAGAACAACAGCTCCACAGAGATTATGAATTTGGTCTGTGTCACTATTTTCCAAGGACTAAAGTAGGATCCAATACATGGGAAAAGCAAACAGGTACTGTCTGAATGAAATGAATGAGTAAATGTGTGTTAAAAAGCGTGGAAATAAAATGGACTAGACTCCAAAATAAGTAAGTGACTACCTAAAAGTAAAAGCCTGTGGGGCACTGGCAGTGGCTCGAGCCTTTAATTCTAGTTATTCAGGAGGTTGAGATCTGAGGATCACAGTTTGAAGCCAACCGGGGCAGGAAAGTCCATGAGACTCCTATCTCTAAATTGAGTTGCAAATAACTAGAAGTGGAGGTGGAACTCAAGTGGCAGAGCACTAGCCTTGAGCAAAAACTCAGGGACAGCTCAAGCCTCAGGACAGAGACAAAAAATGGGGAAGAAAAAGAGTAAAGGCCTGTCTTTTGAACAGGCAAATGATTATATTCCCAATAATGGTCATATGTACCACCAAAACCCTGGGCTGGCTAAATTAAACAAAGTAATAAGCTGAATTGTGGGAATACCAAGCTAAAAGATCATAGATAAAGTCTTCAGAAATGCAGGTCAAGTCCAAGAGATGCAGAAAATGCAAGTACAGGGAAAAGGTAAGCAAAGTCAAGTTATACCACACTATGGTTAGGAAAACTGGCATTATAAACTCTTCTAAACCTAATTCACACACATAATAAAATAACTCCTTTCAAAGATGACCGTGCCAACATATATATACTTATTTCCACTGGAGAATCTAAATCAATATTAAGTTTCACTGTGTGAATACAACTCAGGTATAAAATAGATCAGAAGGATTTTTATTAGGTGCATGAATTCACAAAAACAGAGACTCCTGATGTCTTATTCATTACTACGCCACATGGAAAAACCATTTACTTACAATACCAAATTCTTTACACGTTCCACAGGAACCAGGTGAAGTAGTTCAGAAGACTCTTCCAAACTCAGTAGAGTATTTACAGCTTGACAAAGAACAAAGAAGCTTCCTAAGGGGAGGAAAAATCACATTATTTATTTCTTTGACATCACTACTAAACATCTGATTTATCCAATCCATGCTGCTTACAGAAAGTTTTCTGAAGGTTTTTAAGGGAATTTGTGTTTTCTAAAGAATTATCTGTCAAATGTCTGACAGGAAAAAGGAGTTTCCGTGTCTTATGTTTTATCTTTCTTTAGGTAAACATGTATTCAGATATACCATTAACTTGAGAAGACAACAAAGCACACGTGAAGCATCTGATTCAAAAACTGAAGTCTGAAATGTTTTGAGTAGTGTTAAAATGCTTAAAAGGTTTTAGATTTTTGGAATATTTCTGATTTCAGACTTCCAGATTAGGATTTTCAACTAGTGAATTTTATGAAAATATTCCAAAGAAGTCTGAATTCGGATGTGCTTCTTGTCCCAAGCATTTCAGGTCATCTCAACTTGAATTATACTTCTGCCCACCAGCCTACAACTACAACTTAAATAAACTAGAACTTTTGATGAGTGTAAAATGAATTATAAAATTCATGTTGACATTATTCTCCACTTTATAAGTCACCATCTCTAACAGCTACTACTATTAATTAATGTACATATAATTAGTAGGAATTAAGTACTCATTTAATCTCCAATCCAAGAATCAGCAAACTATGTGAGATAACCTGGTTTAACTTTTGAGACTAGGTTCCATATGTCTTTAAGGTTGGCCTTGAACACCTGATCATTCTATCTTAACTCTGCCTCTCCATTACTATGACTACAAGTCTATCCTACCATGCTAGGATGGCCTGAAAGCTAAAAATGTTTTGTTTTGTTTTTGTATGTTTTTTACTGTGAAAATGCTGTACAGAAGGGTAAAAATGCTTGTGTTTTTGTATTTTTTAAAAAACATTATAAGGGTTTAAACTTTTTAAAAAAAGAATATGTCACAAAGACATACTGTTCTGGACTAAACCAGTGCCATCCAACAGAATTTTCTGCAATGGTAAAAATTCTTGTGCTGAAATATAGCCAATAGTGTAGCAAAAGTCACATGTGGCCACTGAACGCTTGAAATGTGGGAATCTAATTTAATTCTGTTGACTTTGTACCTAATAGAATGCAGCACATTAACATTTAGGCAAATGAAAAGACTGCTATTCATGTGTTAGAAGAAAATACTGGGCTAAGATAAAACAAAGTATCTGCAATTAAGTTGCTGAGCATGAAGCAAGCAGCCTGATTCTGCCTGGAGGTACGGTGCCAAAGTTGGGTTTTCTGCAGCTGGACTCACAAATTGGTATTCCAGAAACCACTAAATACAAAGACATATAAAAGTCCCCAGGTTGAGAGAACATGTGTGCAAGGCCAGATTATGGTAAGGCATATAACTTAGGCTTGGAGCTCAAGACATATTCCAAGAGTAGGGTGGGCATGAGGTGACTGGGGCTCAAAATGAATGGTCTTAATGCTATGGCAGCCTGTTGATACTAGACTTTCCTTCTGTCCATGCCACCTTGACTGGTTATCAGGAAAACAGACCTAGCTTATTATTCTCTTTTGTTTTCTTTTCTGTATTTCTTATGAAGGAGTTATATCAGGACATGTTAGTATTCTCTAACAATAATACTATTCTCTGGTATTACGTATGTTTACAGTGACTTGAGGTGTATTTGAAAAGGTAGAGAAAAGAACAAGCAGTGATTGAAACTGACCTTTCCCAAAGGTCCCTCTGTCAATAGTCATGAAGAGTGACTCTATGAAGCATGCCACTAGAGGTATCACCTTCTCTTTCTCAAGAGGTCTGTCCAAGAAATGAGGAGAAAAGGAAAAAGCTTATATTATCACTCAAAAGCTTTGTCAAATAGCTCAAATAGCTTTTGGCTAAGCTATTTTCATCAAGATGTTAAGTATTTCTTCGAAAACTAAACAGTTTATTTCTTACCTAATGTGAGGTAATACTACAAGGCTTGCCCAAGACTGTGAAAGGGAAGTCGTATCTTTACTGGGGGGTAGCTGAATTACAGTTAAGAGATGGTCCAGTACTGAATACTGTTCCTTTCTTCCTTCAGATCTAGCTTTCCTCTGCCTTAAGTAGGATCTGAAAAATGAAAAGATGAACACATGTTTAAAACAGGAGAGAATACAATTGCTCTTGTCCTCTGAAGTCTGAAATGAGATGCTCCTTTCTACCAAGGAGCCTCGGAGGAGGAAGGAATTAGTGATGGCTGAATATAAATAACTGTGAGTCATGTACTGACAAGCACATAAGCTCTGCTTCCTTCTACTTATACTTTCATTTGCTATGTAACTTAAACCAAGCCTTTCTAGTTTTTGACATTACTTCTCATTTGTCTTTGTTTGTTTTGCTGTTGGTTATTTGAGAATTGGACAGGTAATTCACATTGTCTTTTTTGTTCTGACATAAATGTTACCACTTCTCAACTTTAGACTGATGTCATGAAGTTACTAAAATGATTATTTAGAAGTTGTTTAGGACTGGGCGCTAGTGGCTCACGCCTGTAATCCTAGCTACTCAGGAGGTTGAGATCTGAGGATTGAGGTTCAAAGCCAGCCTGGGCAGGAAAGTCTGTGAAACTCTTATCTCCAATAAACCATCAGAAAACCGGAAGTGGCATTGTAGCTCAAGTGGTAGAGCACTAGCCTTGAGCTGAAGAGCTGAGGGACAGCGCTCAGGCCCAGAGTTCAAGCCCCACGACCAACCAAAAAAAAAAAAAAAAAAGAAGTTGTTTAGGGATGGGAATGTGGCTTAGTGGTAGAGTGCTTGCTTTGCATGCATGAAGCCTTATGTTAGATTCCTCAGTACTAAATAAACACAAAATGTCAGAACTGGCACTCTGGCTTTGAGCTTTGAGCAAGACACTTAGGGACAGTGCACAGGCCCTGAGTTTAAGCCCCAGAACTGCCCCAGCACCACCACCAACACCACCCCCCCCCCCGAAAAAAAGTTGTTTAGCCTGACAAATGGTTGTTCATGATACTTTCTAACATGACACTGATTTGGGATATTAGTTACTCTTTACCATTCTTTTTTTTTTTTTAGTCCGGTCATGGGGCCTGAACTCTGGGCCTGGGCGCTGTCCCTCAGCTCTTCAGCTCAAGGCTAGCGCTCTACCACTTGAGCTACAGTGCCACTTCCAGCATTTTTCTTTTTGCTTATGTGGTGCTGAGGAATAGAACCCAGGGCCTTATGCATGCAAGGCAAGCGCTCTACCACTGAGCCACCTTCCCAGCCCCTCTTTACCATTCTTACTAGCTTTTTTATTCTTGCGAGTGTACTATGCCTCAGTCCTACCTGTAAGACAGAAATCTCATTAAGGAAAAACCATAGAAACAATAAGATTTTATAATTTGTTCCTATATCCAATTTTCTAGCTTATTATGCAACAGAAACAAATAGAGTTTGACGCCTATACACTTTTTGTTACTAAATTTAATCAAAAAGTCATATTCTCTTTGTTTTATATTTATCAGGACACTAAATGTTTGGAAATGATAGATGATTAAGTTAATATAAATGTCAATTCCTTAAAGTCCACATCCTGAAATCCAGTCTTCTAGGCAGAAACTATGACTCTACAGCCTGGAATCTTACAGACAGAAGCTAATGAGAGATTCAGAAATACCAATCAGTGTTTATATACCCTCATTTTATAAGGCTTTACATTTAATGTGGACTTTTAAAAATTTATAATTAAAGCAACTTTCATAGTTTAAAAAAAGAGGTAACAGCGAGTCATTAGTTCTATGTTTTTTGTTGTTGTTGTTTGTTGTTTTTCCAGTCCTAGGGCTTGAATTCAGAGCCTGGTCACTGTCCCTGAGCATCATTTGCTCTAGAACTCTACCACCAGCTGTTTATGTGGTACTGAGGAATCGAACCCAAGGCTTCATGCATCTAGGCAAGCATTCTACCACTAAGCCACATTCCCGGCCCCATGCTATGTTATTCCATGTGTCTATCAGACCTTCTAGTTAGCTTTTCCAATAAAGTCCATATTCCCTTCTTCACCTTAGAAAATCCTCAAAGGACCTGACCCTACCTCCTCTCCCCTAACCTCCTCCCTGCTCAGTGTTCTTTATTGTAAGAGACTGAGCTTCCTCTCATTCCAGACCTTCTGAAGTTACTCTTCACTCTGCCTAGAAAGTCTTCCAAGGATCAACCCTTCCCATTCCCACAAAGAATGTAATCTCCATACAGAAGGAACTATTGCTCAGTACTTCATGTTCAGAACAGTCCCTGATAGCATAAAATATCTGTCAAATGACAGGACAAATTTACTTCTAAAAGACATTTCCTATTAGTTATCTCTTCTTATAAAAAAAATTGCAAGATAGATGGATGAAATGTTATTAAGACTATTCCATTATTAAAAAAAATTGTTTTAGAGACAGAGTCCTAATATGTATCCCAGGCTGGCTTTAAACTTATGCTGTAGCCCAGTCAGCCTCCTGGTTCTACCTCACTCCCAAGTGCTAGGCTTACAGGCTCATACACACACAATAATAATTATTATTATGAAAAATCTTCACAGAGGGAAGGAGGACAAAAGTGAGCGTTTGCACCCTTTCTCTGCAGAGCTGGCAGAGAAATATGTTTTCTTCTTCTTTTTTTTTTTGTCAATAGTAGGGCTTTAACTCAGGGCTTGTGGGCTGTCATTGAGATCTTTTGCTCAACCCTAGCGCTCTACCACTTTGAGCCACAGCTCCACTTCCGGTTTTCTGGTGGTTAACTGGAGATAAGAGTCTCATGGACTTTCCCAGAGCCCAGGCTGGCTCTGAACCATAATACTCAGATCTCAGCCTCCTGAATAGCTAGGAGTAAAGGTATGAGCCACCACCACCACCTGGCTGGAGGGATATTCTCTCAGAAGAAGAGACAAAGAAATTGTGGCAATTAGTGGGTCAATGCATCTAAATGTATTGATTTTACTATCCACCTTCCCAGGAGGAGCAGCAAGGGCTAAGGGCAGAGGGAGGTCTGCCGTTCACTCTCTTCAGAACCTTGGCTATCTCATTGAAGCCATCCACCAAGGCAGCTTCACCCCTATTCCACAGGACCCAGAGTTTGGCCACATAACAGGAATGTGCTTGTTGAAGATTGGCAGGGGTTGCAAAATCAAAACAGAAGGCCCATGAGAATAACAGAAGTTATTCATTATCAGAGCCCCGTCACCTAAAACAGCAACAAGACTGCTGGCATATTTTCATAAAGAAGCTACTCTGATGGTATGAGGAAGAGGTAAGCAGGGGTTAAGGATGTGGGGTCCCCCCAGAATCTCATGGAATCCCCAAGAATTGCAAACTCAGAGTCAAGAGCTATGTGGCTGTGAGGAGACTAGCTCTCACTTCAGTAGTGCTAAGGAGCTTCACAAACTCAAGGAACATTCATTCATCACACTCATTTTTCCTACTCAGCACTCTCACAGCCAAGCACAAATACAGAAACAGGTCTAACTAATTGAAAAGATTAAAACAAGTGTATCAACAAGGAAATGAGGAAGTGGTATTCAAAGTGGTAGAGTGCTAGCCTTGAGCAGAAAAAGCTCAGGGATAGTGCCCAGGCCCATAACCCCCCCCCCCCCCCCCACACACATAGTGCCCAGGCCCATAACCACACACACACACACACACACACACACACACGGAAATAGTGCCCAGGCCCATAACCACACACACACACACACACACACACACACACACACGCACTCGCGGAAATAGTGCCCAGGCCCATAACCAACCAACCACACACACACACACACCCAGAATGTATTCTGACTCACACTTGTAATGCTAGCTACTCAGGAGGCTGAGATCTGAGGATCACAGTTCAAAGCCAGCCTGGGCAGGAAAGCCCATGAGACTCTTTTATCTCCAGTTAACCACTAGATAATGAAGTGGTGCTATGGCTCAAGGTGGTAGAGTGCTAGTCTTGAGCAGAAGAGCTCAGAGATAGCACCCAGTCCTGGAGTTCAATCTCATGATTTAAAAAAAAAAAAAAGACACAGGAACTGACTTCCACAATGTAAGACTATAAAATTTTAAAATAATTCACTTAAATGTCCAAAATATATAAATATGTGAAAATGGAACAATGAAGCTTGCTGAGATTGGTTTGGGAAGAGGGAGAAAGATTGATTGGGAAAATGCCAATATAAAATGTAACAACAATAAAAAATGAAGTCACTTCTTTTCCATGCTTTCAATCCTCCTGGCAGTAAGTTTTGTCCATCTTTGGAGAGAGGGCAATTCTCTCCATACCGGTGAAGCCATTTACCAAGACAAGTTTGTTCTAAAATTTGTATAGAAATGCAAAGGTCCAGGAGTAACTAAAAATAAGGACTCTCACTTGACATCAAAATTATTCATAAAAGGAAAAATTTGAATAGCTGACCCCATCCAACTATAAACCTCTACTATGCAAAAATTTTTTTTTAATTTTCTTTTAACTTCCCCTCCTCGCGCTTCCCCCCCGCCCCCCGAGATTGAATCCAGGCCCTCACACCTGCTAGGCAATGCTCTAGCACTTGAGTCATGACCCAGTTTTTTTGTATTGTACTTTGTTTTTGAAAGAAAGGTGCTTGCAAACTTCTAAAACTGCAGTATGTTTATGCAAGACATGAGCCAAACGTGGAACCTGGATGAAGGGCACCTGGAATTCCTCTGTACTATTTCTTGCAACTCCACACAAACCTACAGTCATCTTAAAAGGTTAAAAATTAGTGGTCATGTTTCTTTCCCTAACTTCCTTCCTGGTATAAAGAAAGTTAACAGATTGCCCCATGTTTTTCTATGCCTACTTACACATTTGTGTTAATTTTGCAAAGTGAGATCATACCACATGCATAATATATAAAACACATTTTTTTCATGTAACACCTTACCATGGACATTATTTCAGTACATATATACAGATATTCATTTCTATAGGATTCTTATATTCTGAAGCTTATTTGAATGGGTCATCTCACCAATATCACGGGCATATGATTAGAACTCACCCCACTGTCTGTTGTGAGAAAACCAGAGGATACTTTTCAATCACCATGCAGCCAGCGGTGGGAGGTGCTGCCTTGTTGAGAATGAGCTTGGCCAAAATGGCCAGTGCTTCATCTTTGGCCATACTGTCGCCAACTGAGAAGCAATTCTCAATGTACAAGAGAAAGCTTGGTAGAAAAAGCTGAAGACAAGAAAGGAAATCACACTTATTAGCAGATATAAATTCTATAATACCTAATATAAAGAATTATAATACTTGAATGAGGGAGCAAAAGATACTGTAGAAAAGGAAGTGTAGTCATTACCTGACTCATGTAATTATAACCCTCTGTACATCACCTCTATAATAGCAATAAATTTTTTAAAAAAGAATTATAACACTTAAAAAACAAAGCAAAAGAGGCTGGTGGAGGTGGCTTGGCAGGAATCATGATGAAGTTAGCCCAGGAAAAAAGTTAGCAAGACTTCATCAACAAATAAACTGGATGTGGTAATACATTCTATAAAGCTGGCTATGTGGGAAACGTAAGTAGGAGGATCATGGTCTAAGGATAGCTCTAGGCAAAAACGCTACCTAAAAAAAAAACTAAAAGCCAAAGGTTCTGTGGGTGTGGCTCAAGTGCTTGTGTGCTTGCTAATAAGCAGAAGGCTCTGAGTTCAAATCCCAATGCTGCCAAAGAGATTTCATTCACAAAGGATCAGGAATCATAATGGCCTTGAAGTTCTCCATAGAAACAATGAAAGCTAGAAGTCAAAGTAGCAACATCCTAAATTCTGTAGGGAAAAGAATCAGAATCTAAAATTCTATACCTAGTCTGCTCTCAAAACAGTGTATATAAGAGAAAATATTGACATTTTCACATGTACTAAATCCTAAAATTTTACCTCCATTCCACAGAAATAAGAGAGCCAGCTACAATAAGAGCGAAACAAAGACTTAGGAAGCAGAAATGAAGCAAAGGGACACTGTAACATAACAGCTATGCAGGGGGCTGAGCAAGCAAAGCCCCCAGACTGGAAGTACTCCCCAGGAAGCAGGAGGCAGAAACTGAGCTAGTAAGTTTATCTCTCAGTTTGCCATGCAACAGTATTTATAGTGTTGTTGGCAGAAAGTCACTGAGCAGTTAAGAGAAAACAATCTCTAGTTTTTAAAGGATGAGGTAAAAGCTTATGCTAGGAAAAATGAGAACATATACAAAAAAAGGACATGTAACATAAAATATTCCTTGGTAACAAAAATGTGGTGAATATGGATTCAACCCGCACCTGTGATAAAATGGCAAGGAAAATGAGAACTAAATGTTAGAACTAAAATCAATCTACCATACACTGAAGCTTAAAGACAAGGTCTAAAACTAACACATCAAGAAAGAGCAATATGTGCAGATGACTTAAAAGCATACAGATTAGACAAGGTACTAGTGGCTCACACCTGTAATCTTCGCTATTCAGAAAGCTGACATTTGAGAATCAAGTTTGAGGCCAGCTTGAACAAGAAGGTCCTTGAGACACTTACTGCCAATTAACCACCAAAAAGCCAAAAGTGATTCTGTGGCTCAAGTGGTAGAATGCTACCCTTCAGCCAAAAAACTCAGGAACAGTGCCTAGGCCCAGAATTTAAGCCCTAGGACTGGCATATGGACACACACACACACACGCATGCACATGCACGCAAACACATCTATGAAGGCCATAACAAGTAGCTAGTTGCTAGTAAGAAACAGGAGAGTGGCAAACAGATGACTTGACTAATTTAAACTATGTCTAAATAGTGTGTTTGCAGTCCAGATGAAAATTAAGGGTTTTGGGTTGTCTGTTCTGAGTTACTGAGGTTTGAACTCTGGACCTCACTCTTCCAAGACAGGTGTTCTATCAATTGATCAACAGCCTCAACAAAATAAAGATTTTTTTTTTTAAAGATAAAAGTAGGGCTGGGAAGTTGGCTCAGTGGTAGAGTACTTGCCTTGCATGCATGAGGCCCTGGGTTCTATTCCGCAGTACCACATTAAAAAAAAAAAGTGGCGCTGTGACTCAAGTGGTAGGGCGCTAGCCTTGAGCTGAAGAGCTGAGGGACAGTGCCCAAGACCAGACCCCACAACCGACAAAAAAATAAATAAAAGTATAGAGTTTGCCTAGCAATTGCTGCTCCGAGTTCAATCCTCAATACTATGCACCCACCCACCCACCCCTCATACACATACCCCAAAACAAGCAAAAACTCCCAAAACATACAGAGATGGAAAAGATAGTTTCTTAAGCAACAACAACACAGTGATAGTCCTCAAAGAGCAGAAATAGACAGGACCTAGAATACGCACAAAGAGGTTCTTGTGAGTCAAATGAGAATATACATTAGTGAAGACTAAGGAGAGAGAAGCAGAAGACAAGTTCACTGTGAGGTGGCCACTTATGAGGAGTGACATGCCTGACGGAGGTGAGAGGAGAGGGTTAAATCAAGTCAGGCTCTGCCAGGGAAGAGTTCTCTTTGTTTCATTATGTATCTTTTTTGGTGCAATTACATTAACTTCAGCCTCCTTCCGATGGAAGAAACCACTTTTTATGCTTCAAATTCACATAAAAGTTCCTTATACTGATTTTCAATTTTACCACATGGTAAATCAGTTCAAGTACTGTTCAAAATGAAATGGCTACTGGTTATAATTATAAATGCCTGAGAATATATAATGAAGTCTCACACATAACCTCAACTTGAACGTAATTAAAAAATACATTAACTAAAATATCAAGCACAAACTCCACTCCTTTAAAAAGCAAACAAAAATCCAGAATTTCAAACTTGGCTATTTTACCAGGATAGATTTAGAAAACACTCCAAACGTAATCTCTTCCTTACCTGTTCAAATTGCTTCATAGGAAACATAACTTTGGAAAAGTCCAAAATCAAACGTCTTTCAAATCTGCTCTCAAAAATCTGTGAAGCACAGGTGAAAATTACAAATGAAGTAAACAGTGTTAAACCCATTCCCTCCCCTAAAGCAGCTAGAGTCAGGAAATGGTGGCGTACTTCAACAGCCATTCCACAGGTTGCACCTCCTCCCATTCTCTAAAGAACTCAGGTGTTGCACTGACATTATTGCACTGACTCCAGAGTCACATCTGCTCAGCCTTGCCTAGCTATGGAGAACTACAAAAGGAAAACAGCTTAATCTTAAGCTAATTCATCTTTCTTCAACATCACTTTTAAAACTCACTAAATGCAAATCTCATCAAACCATGTCATTGCTTACTTTTCCCAGGGCCTTCCACTCCGTAAGGCTACTTTTCTAGGCCAAGGAAGATTTCATGACTATCAGCCACTTTTTCTCAAAGGCCCAGGCTACACCTATTTATAAGCACTGGTCTTTGTTCTCTCTTCTACTTTTGCTACCATTTTCCCTGACTGAAACACTGCTATGGAGCCTTTAAGACATACCAAATCTAAGTCTTTTGAAAAAGCTTTCTGTGATATGCAACCCCAGGTAGAACAGCTATCATTCAATATAAAGTTGTTCACTCTATTAGACTACTTCCCCCAAGAGTCCTCTTGCCCAACAATAAAGACTGTAACATCATAGGGTCTACCTTCAATACCTAACTCACACAGTAGGCTCCACATGGTCACTGAAATTTTGCTGTGTAGATTTAGCTATGACTACACTTTATTTTGCTTGTTGTCACTACAGCATGCAGCTCACATCCCCTTAATTTTTAATTCCAGGAGGGCAAAGTCTTTGTCAGGCTTCATTTGTATTCTCAGCTGGGTTTACTCAACACTAAACATATTATTCACAACTCAGTTAATATCTTGTTCAAGTAAATTACTTTATCTATGGTTTCTTTGATGAGGGTCTCTGGCAATGAAACATTTTCACCAAGGATCAAAGCAGAAATTATATCCAAGAGTGTCACACGGCACGATGTAGAAAGATTTGCTGTTGCTAATGTTTGAGACAATACCTGTCAAAATACAAAGAAAAGCACACATAGCAATCTGCTGTTAATAAACATGCTTAAGGTAGGCACTGGTAGCTCACACCTGTAGCTAACTCAGAAGGCTCAGATGAGGATTACAGTTCAAAGTCAGCCTGGGCAGGCAAATCTGAGAGACTAATCTCCAATCAATCAGCAAAACACCAGAAGTATGACACTGTTCAAAAAGAAATGTTCTCTTTATCTGGCTTATTTAACTGTAACCCTTTTATACAGACCTTTATTGTAACAACAAAAAAATTACACACACACAAAAAAATCCAGAAGTGGAGCTGCAGCTCACATTTGAGAATGCCAGCTTTGATCAAAACAACCAAGCAAGAATGTGAGATCCTAAGCTGAAGCCCTAGTACTAGCATAACTAAATAAAGTTAAAATAAATACTCTTAGGCATATCAAATAGAACACTCACCTTACAAACATCAGCAGGTTTGGTTATCTTTGATCCATTTCCATGTTTCACAAGTATCATATATATTTCTAACAATCTTTTAATTTGTTCAGAACTCTCACAACAGTTTGTTTTTGTCACTTTGTTATGTAGATCCAGGAGTGATTCCTACAAAGAGAAGTTGACAAAGAAAAGAACTAGGAAATCTCAAACTCATCTGTTTATCCAATAACAAATAATGTGTAATGCAGTACAACTTTTCACATTCTTTTGCTTCAAAAGAAAAAGCCATACTTACTAGGAACCACAGGGAATGTGAACACTAAATGTGAACAGTGTTCACATTTACTGAGTTGAGTTCTTTGCAAGTCTTTACTAAGCATGCTCACATCCACCTTAAGAAAGGGTACACTACATCCCAATTTATCAGACTGAAAGTCTGAGGAATGGAGACTCTAAATAATTTTTCCAGTCACACCAGCAGTAATGGTAGAGCCACAATGTAAACAGGCAGGCAGTATGGCCCTCACAGCCTTTCTTAACCACCATACTCTACTGAATCTCAAGCTATCCTATCAAAATAAAGCATAAAGGGTAGAGGGAAGAAAATCCATACGTGAGTAGAAATACAAAAAAAAAAAAATTATAAAATACAATCTCCAAGAGTGCTCAGCTAAAGTCAGAGAAATGATAATAAACTCACAGACCTCTTGTTACATACTCATCCTTAAAAAACTAGAACTTACTTGCAAACAGTCAAAAAATGTAGCAAAGTGTTCCTTATAGATGTAGACTACTGTCGATTTAGCCATGTTTTTGAGTGTTTCTCCAACTAAAACCCATGGCAGCTGAGTTTCTGTTTCAGTCACTGGTCCTAGCTTTTGCAAAATTAGCTTCAGTGCCTGTGGGAAAGCAACAACAATTAAAATAATCATATAAACTCTTATTTTTTTAAGTATTCGGCCATGATTTACCCCTCTGATTATACTAGCTACTTTAATAATCTAGTCTGGAATAATCAAGGATATAGTAGCTTTGAGTGTTAATTATGTATCCCAAATGGAATTTCCAAACTAGGATTGTGAGTTTTTGTTTTTGGTCCAGGACCACACTATGTTGCCCAAACTGGCCTTGATTGGTCAGCTTCCCACCTCAACCTCCTGGTGGCTACAAACAGGCAAGCACCACCACACCCGATAAAGAAACTTAGCATCTAACAACCTTGCTTTACTACCCTATTAGTGAATGGGTGAATTATGTTAAAACCCTCCTAGTATCCAGGATGAATAAGACACAAAGCCTACATAAGGAAGTATTGTCCTTAATCCTCTAAACTTCCCCAGTTATCACTTTCTATTGACTCTAGGTTGCCTTGTCACCACATCATTTGTCTAATTCTTTTGTGTTTAATCCTTCCACATAGGTGCCAAGCAGCCCTTCCCACTTTTTACCTGTCCTGTACAGGAATGAAACATATTCTTAACTCCTTTGCACATTTCAAAGAGTAACTGTCCAACTCCTTCCACTTTTTCTGGATGTTTATTAAGATCAAGAAGCATTAAGTTGAAAAGTGCATTTTTATCAGTGACCTAAAACGTAAAATAGAAATGGAAAGTAGTATTTACAACATAAATAAGTTAAAATAAGGAATCTACCTTCTTATTCTGGATAGTCATGTTTAAATACATTAAGGAAAAGTCTGGAAGGAGTAGTCATTTGAAATGATCTCAAACTGCTAGAATTCTTGACTCGTCCTTGTCACATTACACAGAGTGATGAGTTCACTGGTATGGCAGATATGGATATGTCAAGAAAACCTACTGAAAGCAACACTTTGTCTTGTAAACTATATATTTGCATTTTATAAGCTTAAAATAAATTTAATGTTTTAATACACAAACCAGTGTTTTACTATGAAAACATTCTAATACTAAGAAAATTTTAAACAAGGAGCTGGGAAGGTGGCTCAGTAGTAGAGCGCTTGCCTTGCATGCCTGAGGCCCTGGGTTCGATTCCTCAGCACCACATAAGCAAAAAGAAAAAAAGCCGGAAGTGGCGCTGTGGCTGAAGTGGTAGAGCGCTAGCCTTGAGCTGAAGAGCTGAGGGACAGTGCCCAGGCCCCACGACTGGACCCAAAAAAAAAAGAAAATTTTAAACAAACATGACCATATGATATTATGGTACCAGCTCCTTCCAGGAAACAAAAATTCCTGTTTATCTCATTGTTCATGTATTTATTTTATATAGGAATGTTTTGACAAGAAACAACTGAAAGCTGCAAAAAATCTAAATAACAATAAGAATGACCAAAAAGAGTAGGGAAGGTGAAAGGAAAGGATAAAGTACTTCATATGCAGTCATGAGTATTAATAAAGAAAATCATTAAATATATTTTCCTTCCTTCCTTCCTTCCTTCCTCCTTTCTTCGCCAGTCTTGGGGCTTGAACTCAAGGCCTGGGCACTGACCCTAAGCTGCTTTTGCTCAAGGCTAGCACTCTACCACTTGAGCCACAGTTCCACTTCTGACTTTTTCTGTTTATGTGGTACTGGGGAATTGAACCCAGGGCTTCATGCATCCTAGGCAAGCACTCTACCACTAAGCCACATTCTCAGCCCTTAAAAATAATTTAAAAAGCGGAACTGGGAGTAAGAAAGAGTGAAAGAGGAGGTAAATTGGATCAAAGCACATTACATGCATTATGGAAATATGAACAATGAAACTCCTTTGTTTAATTAATATACACTCACATAAAAATAGGGAAAAAGTTACTCAAATAATATCATGTTATTAGTGAGAAAAGCTTAATTAAGCCTTAAGGTAAGCTAAAGTAGAAACATTAATTATAAAGATGAGTCCATAACAACCACATTAAAGAGATTCATGCTCTACTCTTATACTGGTATATAATGATAAACACAAAATATCAAACTAACCTTTCTCATCAAAAAAGTAAAGCTTTCAGCAGCAAAATTTCTTATATGTAGTTTTTTATGTGCCAGGAGTGTACTATACAGGCTAGAAAAAAATAAAATAGTTTAATGACATAATTGTTAATAAAGATGTAGTATATAATATGTACCACATTGAGCCAAGTATGCAAGGAATATGCAGTAGGTACAACACAAGTTTACTATCTATCTCATTTGATTACTGAGACACTTACTTGCCAGAAAACCAAAGGCCATAAACATTATGCATATCAGGACAAGTGATGCTATTTGTCTTCCAGCAAAGATACATGAAAAACTGAAATTGGCAGTCAGCTCCAAATGACAGGAAGAACTCAAGTGAAGACTGGGATATGTATTATTAGGGTAAACGAGAGGGCAAAGATGGGCAAGCAGAAATAATCACGGTCAACAATAATAAGGAGGCCGGTTTGCATCAATGAGAAAGGAAGTATGGTTGATCAGAGCAGCTACAGATAAAACTGCCCAGGTAAAGCGGTGGCTCTGAACACCAGGCAAAGGAATTGGAGCTCTACCTTATTCTTTATGTAGGTGCCTTCTGTGTATTACTTCATTTAATCAGCCAAACTTTATGGGATGAGTACTATTACTATTTCTAGTATACTGAGTTTAAACCCTACTACCACCAACATAACAAACCCATTCCATACATAATGTAGGAAGGTAAGCAACCTTCTTAAAGTCATATACAACCATAGAGCTATCATTACTCATGTAATCATATTGTTGCTTTCCCTAATTATGGAAGAATGACAAATGAATCCAAAATAACAAACCCATTCCATACATAATGTAGGAAGGTAAGCAACCTTCTAAAGGTCATATACAGCCATAGAGCTATTATTACTCACGTAATCACATTGTTGCTTTCCCTAATTATAGAAGAATGAATGATAAATGAATGATAAATAAAACCCCTCTGCACACCACCTTTACAATATTTTTATTTATTTATTTTTTGTCAGTGGTGGGGCTTGAACTCTAGGCCTGGGCACTGTCCCCCAGCTCTTCAGCTCAAGGTTAGTACTCTACCACTTGAGCCACAGCTCCACTTCAGGTTTTCTGGTGGTTAATTGGAGATAAGAGTCTCACGGACTTTCCTGCCTGGGCTGGCTTTGAAGTGTAACCCTCAGATCTCAGCCTCCTGAGTAGCTAGAATTACAGGCGTGAGCTACTGGCACCCAGCTTTTTGTTTTCTTAAAGTGTATTAGCAGTTAAGAAAACACAGGTGTTTAAGACATGTGCTTACAGAGTTCATTAGGTATCTAAGGACAGAATTACATTACAAATAAAGATTATATAATTGGCTTTAAAAAAAATGCCAAAGAGGGCTGGAGGTGTGGATTAACAGCACTATGTCTGCCTAGCAACCCTAAGGCACTGGGTTCAAACCTCAGTACAAAAAAAAGATAAAGAGATAAAGAATATAAAGCTTTTCTTCTGGCTAAGGTGCCTGGAGACTATTTGAGGAAGTAATGAAATTCAAGTCAAGCTTTGATGGGTGGGTAAAATTTCAATAGCTCTAGACAAGAGGTTAGGTCAATACAAACTTAAAATGTGTTCAACATAAATTAGTAAATGAGATTGTGGATCATTGACTAGTGAATCAACTCTGTATAAGGAAACAAATGAATAATACACTAGAAAGGTAGTCTGGAGTCAGACAGGTCAGAGAAAGAGGAAGAAAAAATTTTAAATATTGGAGAAGAAAAATCAAAGAGTGCTTTCACTATATTTGATGTCAGTATAACTTGTGGAGGAGATGGGGAAAAACCAATTGTTTAAGGATACAGGTGGATCTGATGCAACAATGAGAAGTACAAGTTGTCATGTCCAAAATGAGCTTTACAACGTCGGTGCGGGGGGGGGGGAGATGGGGGGGGGGGGGGGGGGGGAGGCTGGGAAGGGATGGGAAGGGTAAACAAAGGAGGAGGCTGCAATGCTTGGTAAGAAATGTACGCATTATCCTGCCCATGCAATTGTAACCCCTCTGTACAGTATGTTCACAAATAAAATAAAATAAAATTTAAAAAAAAAAATCAAAGAGTCACCTGTATATACTGTTCATGTCCTTCACCATCAGTCTCCACAGGTACTTATAAAGATAGGATAGTGAGGTAAAGGCCCATTCTAACAGCTCTGTGTCCTGAGTCTCCAGGATAGAGGTGATAGTCAGGAAAAAATCCTGAAAGTGTGGATAGAAATCCGTCTGCAGATCTCGTGCCAACTGTACAACCAAACTAAATTTTAAAAAGAAAGAAGTAATTAGATTAAAAGTAAGAAGAAAACTATAAATCTATTTAACAATAGTAAATGGCTTATGATCACTGGATTACACCAAAATCAAGTCTTACTTTATATGCCAATCCTGAGGCTTGAACTCAGCCTGGCACTACTGTTCCTAGTGTCTTCTGCTCACATCTAGCATTCTACCACTTGAGCCACAGATCAACTTCTGGCGTTCTTGGTAGTTTAGTAGAGATCTGAGTCTCATGGACTTTTCTGCCTAGGCTGGCTTCAACCTATGATCTTCAGATCTCAGTCTCCTTAGTAAGGATTACAGATATGAACCACAGAAATATGGCTCTAAATCAAGCTTTAAAATATATAAAATTAGGAAGTGGCACTGCGGCTCAAGTGGTAGAGCGCTCGCCTTGAGCTGAAGAGCTAAGGGACAATGCCCAGGCCCAGAGTTCAAGCCCCACAACCGACCAAAAAAAAAAAAAATTATTCTAATCTTAAGAGTTAAGTAAAGAAATCAAGGCAGAGAACATTCCTTCAAAGAGTCATGTAATCGAAAGTTTTTCTTAAAGAGAAATTAAAGCCTTATAGCCAGGGGCTGGTGGCTCATGACTGTAATTCAGGCTACTCAGGAAGCTGAGATCTGAGTGTCACGGTTCAAAGCCAGCCTGGGCAGGAAAATCCATGAGACTCATCTCCAATTAACTAGTAAAAACATTTAAAAGCCAGGAGCAGAGCTGTGGTTCAAGTGGTAGAACACTAGCCTTGGGTAAAAATTCACAAGGATAGCACTCAGGCCCTGAGTTCAAACCCCAGGACTGGTACCAAAAAAAAAAAGAGAAAGAAAGACGAAGAATTTATTTCCCCTAGGACTGTATTAAAAAAAATATAAAACTGTATACCTAAGATTTAGCTTTATAGTAATATTCTTGTAGTTTCTAAGTTAGTAACATATGATGTAAAGCGTATCATAGGCATAAGCTTTCTTTTAAAACTCAGATAAATACCATTAAGTTTTTGCTTAAGATCTACTTACTCCAAAAGAGGCTGGTAAGCAAAACTGTTCCTAATTTGCAGGTGAGTCTTCAAACTCTGAACTATCTCATTTTGATGATAAACCAACTGATTGAATGACTGACATTTGTCAATAACTTCTTTGTAAAATTTTCCTGGATGAGAAAGAAAAAAAGTATTATTTTGCTTTTCTCTTACATCATTAATAATTCAGAATATATAAAATACTAATTATGGGAGAATAAAATACAAACAAAATAAAAAATACCGAAATGTTCTGTTAGGTTCAATTCTCTCCATTTCAGCAGACCCTCAAAGAAGTAGGTTTCAACCTCCTGCCGAAATTAAAGCAGACCATTAAGCAAACTCCAAGTTTAATAACAATAAGTATATACTAATACCTTAAGACAATGCTTAAGAAATTAGGCTGGGAAGGCGGCTCAGTGGTAGAGCACTTGCCTTACATGCCTGAGGCCCTGGGTTTGATTCCTTAGCACTACATAAGCAAAAAGAAAAAAATGCCAGAAGTGGCGCCGTGGCTCAAGTGGTAGAGCGCTAGCCTTGAGCTGAAAAGCTGAGGGACAGTGCCCAGGCCCAGAGTTCAGGCCCCATGACCGGACCCAAAAAAAAAAGAAAAAAAAAAGAAATTATAAACTTCTTTTAGTTTTCTTGAAAACGAATATTAACTATATATTTAATTAGAGGTATAAGATCAATATGTTTTGTTGATTTTAGTTGCAGCCATTAACTTTCTAAAGCTTATATAACAGTCACACTAAGGAAAATGTGTGTTTTTTTTTCCTATGAGTTTTTCAAGTTTAGGCATAGATTCCAGTTATGATCACATTCTGTCACTCCCCTATTAGAATTTTTCCCCCTTTCATGCTACAGAATTGGTTTGTGTTTACTATTAGAAAATCATAGTCCAGCCCCTTCCTTTTTATAGAAGAGAACCTCTAAGGATAAGAGAATGTTGGTGGCTCACACCTGTAATCCTAGCTACTCAAGAGGCTAAGATCTGAGGATCACGGTTCAAAGCCAGCTCAGGCAGGAAAGCCTATGAGACTCATCTCCAATAAACCAATAGAAAACCAGAAGTGGTGCTGTGGCTCAAGTGGTAGAATGCTTGCCTTGAGCTGAAGAGCGCAGGGACAGCACCCAAGCCCAGAATTCAAGCTCCAAGACCGACTAAAAAAAAAGTTAGAATGTGATTAGAACTAAAAACCATGTAATCAGGATGGTATCCTTTTACTGAGGCAGAAACTAAGCTGTAGGAAAATAGTATCATCAAAATAAAAATCACTGTAAATCATAGGATCATGGATCAGCAGCAATGTTTGCAATATATGTGAGAAAATGAGAGAATCCAGTCATTAAAGCTAGCTGAGTAGTGTCAACTTTAACATAACATCATTCAGTAGAATTTTTTTTTTTTTTTGGCCAGTCCCAGGGCTTGAACTTAGGGCCTGGGCACTGTCCCTCAGCTGCTTTTTGCTCAAAGCTAGCATTCTTACCACTTGAGCCACAGTTCCACTTCTGGCTTTTTCCGTGAATGTGGTACTGAGGAATTGAACCCTGGGCTTCATGTATGCTAGACAATCACTCTACCACTAAGCCACATTCCTAGCCCCAGTAGAACTTTCTTCAAGGATGAAAATGTTCCATACTCACACTAGTCCAAAATGGCACCAACCATTTGCACATAGCCATTTAGCACTTCACTATTATCACTTTATTGTTTTGGAGATATTGAAGCTTGAACACAAGGCTAGGCTCTCTCTCAAGCCACACCCCTAACCCTTATCGAGCATTTTAAAGTAACTTAAAAATTAATTTGCCATATGTGGCTTCTATATTAGCACAGATCTAACTAATCTCGCTTTCAGAAAAGCACAGTTTGAAGCACAATTCATTACTACTAACAAAACAAAAATAAACAAAAAACCAAATAATTAATCACTAGCTAACATCAAATTCTCTCACCTCATCATAGCTTGCAGTTCTATCAATACGGTGAATAATATCGATATTCACATTCCCAAGTCGTTCAGCAAATGTCAGAAACTGGGAGAGAAAGCATATTGACGACAAATCATCATTGAATTCTTATAACATATTGAGTATATGAGTGTGGCACAATAATCGCTGGTGGGCAATTTCCCTGTGGAAGTATTAAATGTAAAGCTTCAATATATAAGTACTAACTCTGCTTCTAAGGGTATGCTTGGCTTTAAGTTTCAGACTTGAATAAGTGAATTTTTATTTGTCTTGTTTTCTGTGTGCTTTTTTTTAAATGGATTTTAAGGCGAAGAGTACGTGTAAAACAGGCTGACAGGCACAAGGCCTTAAACAGATGTGCTGCGCCCATTCGAAGACAGCGAGTACTTCTTACATGCCTGAGTTAGTTCTTGGAGTTGTCTGACACTTCAAGTTAAAGGGAGTGATTTCCACGCTAAACCTACGAATCTAGAGCACTGACGATTATTCTCGCTGTCTCGGGACCATTTCCTACCACACCAAGAGGCCCAAGGATCTAGCTAAAGCCATGACAACCAAGTCCTGGAAAGAAACTGTCCGGGAAGCACCGAGCTGGAAGTCACTCTCTTCCTCGGCCACTCCCCCACCCCCTGGTCTCAATCATCCTTTCCCCACTTCTTTATGGACAAACGAGCAGGGCAGATTCGCAGCCCGGCCATCTCCTGGGATAATGAATTTTAGCTACGGCCTCAGTGGAATTTCCCCAAAGGACCAACTAGGACCCAAACCAGAGGCGGAAGCTGGCGTCCACACCCCTCCCTCCTCCTCCCTCCTCCCTCCCGTTCGGG